AAAATTTCAAAAGAACCGGCTCTTAAGCCTATGCATTGGATTTTATTAACACACTTATTCTCAGCCAGCCCCCAAGTAAGTAGTTGCCAAGTCACCCCCCTAAAATTTTAAAAACTAAACCATAATAAAAGACATAATTAACGTCTCCAGCTCAAGTGGCCTGGGCCTGCCTCATGGCCTCAGCAATGATGTCCGCAGCCTTGAGACGGGCCTTGACGATCTCCTCCTGCGCCGCGAGCTGGGCCTCCTTGGCGTTGTTGCTGAGGGACCGCCGTGCCTCCTCCGCTCTGCGTTCCTCCGCAGTTCGCATGTTTTTGGCAGCGTCCGTCCTTCGTCTGCAGAATTCATTGCTTCCCACATTATTATTAGTTTTACATGGCAGTCTCTTGACTGATCTACTAGGCTACTACTAAAAAAGGCTACAATGCTAACGTTTTCACAGGCACATGAACTGAGAGGCCATGCCCAGGATCAAGCTTGTGTCCTTGGTGTTTGTGGCTTTCTCAGAAAACAACAATCGGACCTAATAATTGTTCTACCAGGCAAATGTTATGTTAGTACATCATTTGGCTAAAGCTCCGTGTGACTGACCTGGATGGTCTGCGGGGGAGGGGCTATGATCTGGATGGGTGGGACGGGAGGGGCCGCGGCCGGCTGCTCGGGGGGAGGGGCCGCTGCTGCTGGATACTGCGGGGGCTGGAAGGGCTGGGCAGAGGCTTTTGGTGGCCGGGTGTTGGACCCAAAGGGGGTCGGAGGGACCCCTGGTGGTGGATGATACTGCGGGGGCTGGACCGGCTTAGCAGCGGCCTTTGGTGGCCGGACGGGCGCTGCGGCCTTTGCGCTGGCCTTCTCCTGGACGGACCCAAAGCGCAAATACCATTGGCGTTCGCCTCATCCTCCTAAGGCACGGATCATGAATGCTCGACTAACTAAATAACATAACATTTCGCAATGGATTTTACCTGAGGAGACGTCCTTGCCGCTGATTTTTCAAAAAGTCTCAGAGAAAGAAGCACAAGTCAACATAGTTTGAACACCTCGGTCAGAATAGTGCTAATATACAATCCCAGCGACTCCCAAAAGACGGACCCGCCGCCAGTACTCGGAGTGAGCACCTTTCTTGGGCTTCCCGGAGTCCTTTACCATGGTCACGGAAGGGCCAGGTGTGAAACTTTGTGAAAAGGCTACTCCAGAAGGACCTGGGAGCCAAGTGGGCCTTGGAACTCATGACATAATTTATGTTGACTGGGCTCGGGTATAGGGTTTAAGGCTAAGGCTTTAAATGAGGGTTTAGGGTTTTGGGCTATCGGTGCAAATAACCAGATGGCTCAACTTCTGCTTCTCAAATAAACCCTAAACCCTAAACCCTATACTACACCCTAAACTTTAAACCCGAAACACTAACTTCAAACCCTAATCCCTAAATTACCCTAAATAAGTTTAAACTCCAAACCCCAAGCCTGAACCCTAAACCCCAAACCCCAAACCCTAAACCTGACTAACCCTAGAGCCTTAAATAACCCTTGACCCTGAACCCTGAGCCCCGAACCCTGAACCCTGACCCTAAACCCTTACTAAACCCTAAACACTAAACTTTAAGCCCTAAACTTCAAACCCTAAACCCTAAACACTAAACTTTAAACCCTAAACTTCAAACCCTAAAACCCTAAGCCCTAAACCCAAAACCCTAAACCCTCGGTCCTTGGCCCGGTCATCGAGGAGAGGAGCCGGCGCACTGGCCTGGGCGGGTCCGTGGGGCTACGACTACACGTGAAAATAATCCGGGATGGACCTAACGGGGTTGACCTACTGACTGGGGATTCACTGAAGTACTGAAGTACCCTACAGGCTTACGACCTCACGGTCGGCGTCCTGACGGACGAGTGATGATCTGATGGACCTAGACTAGAGTACAGGCGTCCTGACGGACGGTGTCCTGACGGACGGCGTCCTGACGGACGAACCTACTAGCCTACAGCCTGACGGCTGGCGTCCTGACGGACGGCGTCCTGACGGACGTTTACTAAACCTTAAATGCAGCACGCTCTCCAAAGACGGACCTTGGGCCCCCTGCAAGCACCAAGTGAGTTGTCGATGATGAAGAACCATTCGGACAGGCACGGCGCTGTTGGGAGGGACCGGGCGTTCGAGGTCTGAATCTGACTATTGGGAGGGATCTGTTGAAATTAAGGATGGGCCAATGCTTGGTTGGATTGGGATGGGCCTGTGAATTCTTAGAGGCCTTCATTGAAATCCTGAAGTCTTCCGAAACCCTACCCCTGCTAAATGTTTTTTAGAAGAACCATGACATGAATGAGTGATCCCGTGTCCTCGTCCTGCCAGTCAATGGCCACGGCTGATGGATGGGCCACATGTTTGTTCGAATTTTGTGTCTGCCCTGCCCCCCCCCCCCCCAACGTGTCAAGTGCCCTTCGGCCCCAAAAACGTTTGGCTGTTAAAACCATTATAGTTACATGTTATATGTAGTTATATATATATATATTATCTTACTAATATGTAATATTACAATATAATGCATTAATCATAATATATATGTGTATATATATATATACATTACATAGTAATGATAATTGATAATAATAATAATAATAATAGTAGTAATTAATAACAATAATATGAATATTAATTAATCAATACAACACAATGCAGGCCCCCTGCCCCCACGAACCCTTCGACGAACCCCGGGGACATTCGGCGAACCTCTGCCGTACCTTTTTCTACTCGACCCCCAAGTTACTGACCCCCTGCGTTTTGCCCTGAGAGGTGACCTGAAGGCTATGCTTGTCACGTAAATCTTTCAAGGCATCCCGCAGAAATGACAGGCCCCTCCTGTGATTCTTCGTCATTTCTTTCTGGGTTTTCTTGGCCGGTTTCGCCAAACTGGAGTCCCACCGCTTGTCGAACTCATCCGTCAATGCACTAGCTGGATCCGTGATGTAGTGCTCCTGGGTGTCCCAGGTGTTGCTCAGGTCGCTGCCCAGCATCTCGTCGAGGTACGCCTGGACAGATTGCCGGTCCAATTGAGGCTTGACACTGCAAAGATCATGCTGAAAGCGTTGCTGCACGACGTCCGAGCACGTGCCGATCAGCTTGCCGACAATGTCCTCCACCCAGCGCGTAGCTTGTAGCTTGTCAGCCCGACTGTCGTTCAGGACTAAGGAGCAAAAGTAGTCCCCCTGCTGGTCCTTCTGTTCCTTGAACTTGTTGATATCTTGCATGTGAGTGGTCCAGGCCGCTGTCTTCATGGTGCGCCAGGCCTGGATAATCGCACTTGAGATCAGGTATCCATACCCCCAGCGCGACAGCTTGCATTCGAGCTCCTCTAGCTGTGTGTCCAGGTGCGCTGCCACCTCGCGTACTGCCTCATTGACCGCCTGCATGCTACGCTGGCTTGGCAAGTTGTCTTCAGGAAGGTTCTGCTCGACAGCTTTGGCCACCTTCTGCAGACCGGACTGCCAAAGCGTTTTGAAGTCCGCGGAGAGAGGCTTCGCCAGCAGCGCAGATTCCAGCGCCTTGCTGGCATTGCGGAACAACCTCGGCCCGCATGCGAGGGCAGGGACATCCGACAGCTTGACGTCCTTGCGCAAATTTTCCCATTCCTCCAAGATATGCCGCACCGTTTCTTGGCCGGGCTTGCCTTCCAGGGGGTAGAGCTTGTACGTGCTGCCGAACAAGTCGGATTCAAACTCATCGCGAGGGAACTTCTGCATCATCTCCTCGATGATATGCTTCCAGAGTTTTTGAAAGTGCTCCTTGGCATCGTCGTGCGACTTCATTGTGCCGGGGTTCCTGCTGAGCTTTTGAACCTCTGCCCGCAGACGTTCGTGTCCCTGCTCGATGGCGCGGCCTGGTTGCTTGAAGCACAAGCTTACGCTGATGCAAAGGCCGCTGCGACAAGCAAGCTACGGCTTACAACATTCTACTGATTGTACAACTCACTGTCTCAGCTACTGAACCGTGTTGCTTCTCCAGTAACCCTCAGGCCATCGCTCACAGACTTGTTCTGCATGTGCAACGTTGCGTCCCGCTGCCACTCGCTCCGTTGCACCTCCAGCTCGGCATTCAACATTCGGCGCATCTCCTCGCAGAATTCGCCGTCGGCCTTTGATTCCTGTAGCTCCTTGGTAAACCGTTCTTTGACATCACCCATGGCCTCATCAAAGGCTGTGTCCACAGCGACTTGAACCGAGTGAATCGATTCATGAGTGGGCTTTGTCTCTGCAATGGCACGCCGGCCCTGAAGGTGCTTCTTCCTCGCCTCGACATTGCGAAAGAGTCGGTTCATGTTGTCCGTGATCCACTGCGTCAACGACTTCTTGAGCTGAATCTGCCTGATGTCCGCAAAATAGGTCAGATCGGGATAGGACCTGATGGTGTCAAAGATGCTCTTCGCCATGTCCAGCCACTGCAAAAGGCCTAAGACCTGTCCACCCTTCCCTGCACTGAAGGATGTCACTTCACTCACTTTACTCCACTCTGCAGTCTCGGCTGTCCGCGGCCTTCGATACGATGAATCATGCTTGCAGACGTTAAGTCTCATATATAGCTCTAAACCTGAACCCTAGCAATCCTAACCCTAGTCCGTAAAGCCCAACAGCCTAGGAGCTCTATAACTTCATTGAGGCCCCGAAGCTCGAAGCCCTGCGACTTTGAGAAGCGAGCCGGATTGGCAGATCCACAGCGACCAGAGCGCGACCCCCTCCTGTGTCACTCAGTCACGTAGTCACGGACGCGAACAGTCAGCGATAAGGATGCAAACGCGACGGTGAAATGCCGCCACATGCATGGAAGCATCTCAAAATCCGCTTCTGTAGTTATATGCATACATGCTGCAATGCGGTCTTCTACCAACTATACTTTCAAAACAGCTTGAGACTGGAAGCTGCAGCCACATGCAGCTCCCTTGCAACAACCGAATGCCAGAAATGCTCATGCAAATGCTCATTGCACAGCGAAGCGCTTTGGAGTTTCTTGTTTCTTCATCTGCTGCTGAATCGCTCCTGCAACTCGCAGCATCTTACATGCGTAAGATGGTTTATGTAGTTCTTGCCAAGCTGAAACCAAGCTGTAACCGCCTTGAAGTAGAGCCCTGTGATAAAGTAGTCTTGTTGGCACCCGACCCAGTCATTCACGTCTTCATTCTTGAGCTTGTCAGTAATGTCCTCGGTGTAGCAGTGGTACCAGCTGCTGTCGTAGGTGAAGGGCCGGCGGCAGGCCACTTTCATCACACCCTCAATTTCATGTGTCTTGTGCCAGATAGATCGCATGTAGTAGTCGTCTGGGCACATAAGCCAGCCTTCCTCATTCCATTCACGCGAAATCCACTGAGAAGATGTCTCGCCCTTGCCATAAGCCAAGTAAACCTCTTTGTAATACTTGATCTGATCCGAACCTCCTCTTTCGCCGCCAATGCCAACCCGAAGGCTTTGGAGAAAGAAATTCGTGCCGGACACGCTGCACCAGGTTTCATCGGTTTTCCATGTGCAGTCGAACACTTTTCGGGTGTAAACTCGGTCTTCGAGGTTCTCCATTGATGTTTCCAAAGACATCGGAAGTGACTTGAACCTTGTGTCTTCCGTGAGCTTGTCTACGAAAACCTTCAGGGTATCATAGGTGTCCTTCTGAAGTTTATACCACTCTGATCGGGAGGTCTCGTCAGAGCTGTCCCATGGAGACCCGCAGCACTTCACGTCTCGGCACGTCTTATACATCGCAGCTCCCACCCTTGCCCATCTTTCCTGGTAAGCCTTTGCCTTCTGGGCGAAGTGCGGCGCAAAAACTGAGTCCAACATGACGATTTCGGTGAAACTGCCCAGTTGCAGCTCAGCCAAAGTTAATGCAGGGAATATCGAGCACTGCTGAGACCAAGCTTCGCATTCGTCGCTGGTCTCGTCCCTCCAGCACTCACCCCACAGCTGAGCTTCCAACAAACTTAAGTCATGCTGCAGCATCAGCCACCACATCAGGCACATCTGATTATCCTTGCCGAGGGCGCCCAAGGAGAGCACCTCGGGCAAGAGCTGCAACGTGCGGACCATGACCTGTAAGGACAACAGTGAGCTTCGAAGCCTCTCAGCCAGTCCTCTCTCGTCCATCATCTCCTTCACATTGTCCATGATCGTTTCGTAGAGCTTCTCCAGGGGACTTGGCTGGGGGCCGTCCAAAAAACTCAACAAACCACCAAGCTGCGACAGAAGCATGGTTCCAAACAAAGCAGCAACTGGGTTCATAAAAGTAGAACCGACAGCGAAGACTGTCTCTGCCAAGCTGAATGCTGTCTTGAGGACGTCATTCGGCAGGAATGGTGTTCCATCAACCAGCCGCTTCCCGAGCTTGGAGAAGAAATCCAAGCCAGCCTTCAGTGTGGTAGCTACCAAATTTTCCATTTTTGATGCTTCCGCTTCTGCACGAAGGTCATCAGCCAATTCATTGACGGTCTTTAGAGACTTGATCAGGTCGTCGTCAAACTCCATTGCGTTGGATCTAATGAGACCGGGGCCCCAGCTCTGCAGGAGACTTGTGCCGTTGACCAAGCTCTGCACGTAGTCATGATGTCGAGCTTCCAATTCTACACCAATGACGGCCGCACCCTTGGACACCACGTCTGGATCCTCCTCAGGACGAAGCTGCCGAGGCAAGCTGCAACGCGCAATTTCTGAATACTAGGTGTGCTTTAGGCAAGCCAAAGTAAATGTGGTCGTTTCAGAACCCTCGGCTACTGTGATCACACCGCTCAGGCTTTTGATTCAGTGGTTTGGTGGTCACTCAAGCAAACGCTGCTCCTGCAACCTGCTTCGCAAGTGTTGCTGAATGCCATGGCGCACCGCCTGTACGAGTGAAACCTGGGAAGATTGATGCACCTGCGGCGAGACTGCAAGTGCAGGCTTCGTATGCGCAGCTTCAGTTTCGAGCACAAGCAGAAATGCCGCAATGCCGCCCGCTCCTGGAGCAAGGCTGGTGCTGCGGCTGCTTTGTCCTCGATGCACTTCCCCTGGGTGGTCGCGCTGCCGAACGACAAGAGAGCCAAGCAGCAACAAGCATGGAAGACAGAAACCATCATGGGTCACCTCGGCTTGGCTCATCAAGAAAGAGACATCAAGAACAAACTAACATCACCGGAGCACAAACACTACAAAAACACAATGCAAATGGACTGTTAATGTGCTTGGCTGGTGTCATGGCACAATGCGTTCCGTCGACCCCCCGCTCCAACACACAAAAACAATCATTCTAAACGACGCCAGTGCTGGCTCGAAATTGTCGAACTAAGACCGAAAGATCGCGTCTGCCCACGCCGATTTTTGTGTCCGGGGGGGGGGGGGGGAACTTGCCCTGCCTAAAGAAATTGTCTGAGTGTGAGAACTTGAGTGTGCGCGCGGTAGGTGCAAACTTAAACACATGTACGGGCGAACTAGTAAGCAACCAGTTTCCAACAATCGACACCCTCGGTGTTTTCAGCCTTAGGCACGACCTTTCGAGCTCTTGCGTGCAAGGTAGGTAATGACTCTACTAGATTCTAGATCCGTTCTGCCTGGCTTTTCATGCGCTTTCTACTGAACATGTTCCACCAATTCCCAAGCAGTGCTTGTCCCGCATGAATGTAAACGAATATACTGGGTTGTCTCATGGTAATTCTGCCGGCAGACGGCGGGGCCGTCTCCAAAAAGCGCCGCTATTCCTCTCGGCAAACTCGGTACCCTGAAGCTGGTTGAGCACCGCGAAGGCACTCTCCCGTTTGCGATCATCGTAACGACATCATCATAATACAACCTAGTAACAACAGAGTGGTATGAACATCCTAGTATCATCATCATCATCATCATCGTCATCGTCATCGGCATCGTCATCGTCATCACCATAATCATCATCAACATCATCATCATCATAATCATCAACATCAATATCATCATCATCAGCATCATCATCATCATCATGATCATCATCATCACCATCATCATCATCATCGTCGACGTCGTCGTCGTCGCCATCATCACCATCATCGTCATCATCATCATCACCATCATCATCATCATCATCGTCATCGTCATCATCATCATCGTCATCATCGTCATGATCACCATCATCATCACCATCATCATCATCGTCATCATCGCCATCGTCGTCGTCATCATCATCATCATCATCGTCATCATCGCCATCGTCGTCGTCATCATCATCATCATCGCCATCGTCATCGTCACCGCCATCGCCATTGCCATCGTCATCGTCGTCGTCATCAACGACAACAACAACAACAACAACAGGAGCAGCAGCAACAACAACAACAACAAAGCATCATATAGCATCATATAGCATCACATAGCATCATATATCATCATATAACATCATTGTAATTCTTGACCTTCTCGTCATAAACATATCCCGTCCGCTGTCCGAGCCTGCGACAACGCAGTTAGGACGCTCAACGAGAACCCATCCCCAGGAGGGTTTTAAGGAAACACAAGTGCCATCTTGAGACTGACAAGGAAAAGTAAAAACCGGGCGACGAAGGCAACCCCGACCATCATTATTTGCAAACAAGTGGCGGCCAAACGGTAAGTTTGTGTAAATTGTCGAAGGGAAATTTAGAAGTGCTCGTATATACGCTGACACTTGAGCCCAAATCGGCGTGACACAGCACGAAAGCCTCTCTGAGCGAAACCGATGTTCTCAAGCTGTGAAGGGAGCAGCTGTGTTGCGGCTGCCTGGGACCTCACAGACTCCTACAACAGTTCCAGAATTCACGCAGCAAGATCAAAGCCATGCGGTCTTCGAAGCTGTATTCTTCATGACCTGGAGCTATCACTGCAAAAATCGTCACACTTTTTCACCCCTCGCAGGACGATGTGTCAAGAACAACTGCGAAGAACAATTTGGTTGGTACCATCTCTCATGGATTGCAGTAAGGTGTTGCAACCTCGATCGAAGAAGGATGCCCGCCTGCTGCTCATGCGCCTCGAGGTTGCAGGCTCTTTCGCAGATCATGCCTTCGAGGAAGATAGGGTTTAGGTATAAGGGTCTTAGGGACTTAGGGTTCAGGAGGAGCTGGGGAGAAGCTGTCGGTTGTTTTTTTGGGTCTTTAGGGGGCTTTAAGCGTTTTAAGCGTTGTCTTTGTTTCCCTTTGGGGGCGGGGGGAGGGTTGGCTAACACCCAGACCATGACATCACCGACGCCAAGAGGTCTCGTTGGGGCTTGCAGAATCTGTGAACTTGATGTTGAGGATGCGCGCCATGATGATGTTAAGGGCCCTACTTCTGAGGGCGCGTAACAACCATAAGACTCATACCATAAGGACCATAAGACTATACATATACATGGGGAGAAGCGCATGTTCCCCAAAGCACGCCAAAACACCTCTAAAACCCTAAATTACTAAACCATCCTGCGCTGTCAGGAACTGTAGAACTGTTCGGGTGTCAGGCTATGAGACACTCAGACACAAGCAGACTTCGGGTAGAAGACGCTTAAGAAATCTTGGAAAGAATAATAGAGAATACGTCTGAAGATGATCAAGCAGCAATTTTCGGTCACTGTTTCTTGGGCTGCTGATGGTACAGAGCAAAAAAGACCCTATGATGTTATATTGAATTACATTATATTGTGCGCACACAAACAGCCAAACCAGCCTAACCCTAAACCCTCCCAAACCCTCAACCTCGATCGAAGAAGGATGCCCGCCTGCTGATCTTGCGCCTCGAGGTGGCAGGCGCTTTGGCAGATCATGACTTTGAGGAAGATAGGGTTTAGGGTCTTAGGGTTTCGGGTTGACGAGGAGCTGGGGGAGAAGCTGTCGGGGTTTTGGGGGGTCTTGAGGGGGCTTCAAGGGTTTTAGTTTTGTTTGCTAACACCCAGACCATGAAATCACCGACGCCAAGAAATAAGTCTCGTAGGGGCTTGCAGCTTCTGTGAGCTGATGTTGAGGATGGGCTCCATGTGGATCATGTTAAGGGCCCTGATTCTGTGGTCGGCGCGCAACAACCATAAGACCATAAGACTATACATGCCTGGGTGCGAGAAGCGCATGTTCCCCAAAGCTCCAACTAAAGCCAAAACACCTCTAACAAGCCCTAAGCCATCCTAAACTCCTAAACCATCCTAAACCTTGAGTCGCTTTCTGAATCCACATTCTGGGCATGACGGCATGTCAAAGCTGCGAAGAAACGATCACAAGGCCATAAGGCCAGGGTCCCCAGAATCTGCTTCTGCGCTGTCAGGTCAGCAACTTTAGATGAAGGGTGTCAGGCTAGGAGACCAATCACTCAGGCACAAGCAGACTTCGGGTAGAAGACGGTTAAGAAATGTTGGAAAGAATGATAGAGAATACGTCTGAAGATGATCAAGCAGCCATTTTCGGTCACTGTTGATGCCCTTGGAGCCTTGCTTGTTGCAGCTGTCACCGAGTGGCAGCTGTCCCAGAGGAGAGAAGAGAGAAGAGAGAAGAGAGAAGAGAGAAGAGAGAAGAGAGAAGAGCGAAGAGAGAAGAGAGAAGAGAGAAGAGAGAAGAGCGAAGAGAGAAGAGAGAAGAGAGAAGAGAGAAGAGAGAAGAGAGAAGAGAGAAGAGAGAAGAGAGAAGAGCGAAGAGAGAAGAGAGAAGAGAGAAGAGAGAAGAGAGAAGAGCGAAGAGAGAAGAGAGAAGAGAGAAGAGAGAAGAGCGAAGAGAGAAGAGAGAAGAGAGAAGAGAGAAGAGAGAAGAGAGAAGAGAGAAGAGAGTCCATTCCCCCAAGTTTTGAGGCCCAAGGGTGAGGAACTTATTCTCGTTGTACATGCTGGGCACCACTTTCAGGGCATCGGAGTTCTGGGCCACCCCTCCCAGCCGCAAAAAACTCCTGCACCGCACCCAGCTCCTCGGGAAGGAAGACCCCCTTCAGCTCCTCAACGATCTGCTTGAAGCAGTCCTCGTGGTGCTTCGGGTCAGGATCTGCTACCTGATTCATGATCCAGGTAAGCTGCGGGTCCGGAACCTTGGCAACTTGCAGATCTGACCAGGCACGGACGCAGATTTCCACCAGGCGCTTGAACCTCAGAATCGCAGAGAAAGCGGCGGGAAAGGGGCATGGCTGTGATGAGGGGGGGAACACTCACCTGGACTCTCTAGACAGGCTCATGGTTGCGACCCCGCTGCGGCTCTGACATCATGCCTTTCACGATGATGTCCACGCGATTGGAGACGGCGAGGGTGAACAGCATCATCATGCGGTCAAACTCTGGGCTTGCCTTCTCTGGTGATTGAAGCCCTTCCGTGTCAAGCACCAGGACGACAACTTCTTCTGCTTCATGGAATTCGGCATAGACCCCCCGAGAGCAGCGGCCCTCCGACACCGCAAAGCCACCCCCATAGCGACAATTGTTCAAGGTGGACTTGCCGGAGCTTTGCGGTCCCACCGTGCTTCGAACTTCGAAACGCTTCCCCTGCCAACGCGGGGCCAAGACCTCAAAGATGCATCTTAGGAAATCCTCTTCCAGGTAGAGGTCCTCACCATCTAGCAGCTCAAAAGGCATTCCATTGCAAATGAGTTCTGCATACGCCTGTTTGACGCAGTCTGCGCTTCTCATCTTGGTACTGTGGCAAGTGATCTGGATGGCTTCTTTGTGAAGTGACGCCATTGCCAGCTGTGCATGAACAGGTAGCATGCCGCGCGCTTCAAACTCCCAGTGCATGTACCTTGCAAGCCTCGGCAATTCGGCAAGTCATCGAAGCAAGGACCGTATCTCCAAGGTGCTGTGCAGTATCAAGGGAACTCTGAGCCCTTGGCTGTTGGAGGTGTGCCTCACGGCTTTCTGCCATCAACACGTCCACAAACTTGTTCGTGACATCACTGGGGTCTTGCTTCTTTCTCTTCTGTTGCAGTGCGTCTCCTTGGCCCAAGGCTTCAGTACTTGCGTGTGCCGGCTGATAGCAACTTCTCACGACTGCAAACGTCCTGTCTGCAGAGAAGCAATGAATGCATGTCCGAAAGGCGCTCTGCTTTGAACCTGTTGGCAGCGTGCCGGTCGTCATTCTTCTGAGCTTCTCTTATCTCCCTCTCCACTTGACAGAGCCTTGGCAGACGAAATATGATGTGAACACACCCTGGTAGAAGGGACCGTGCAGGACCAGCACGTTCTCAGGCTGCCGCTCCTTGTAAGATGCGATCATTGGGAAAACCTTCTTGCGTTGCATCCCCTCGTCATCTACGCATGCTTCGGCACAGCTTCTGGCAATTGTCTGCAAGGTCGCCCAAACTTTCGGCTCTGGCATGCCCATGACGTTGAGCATGTGTCCTTGAAACGTGCTGTGGCACCTTGGTGCAATGCAACTTGCAAAACCAATCCGCACCGAGACCTAGGTACCGGAGCTTCAATGGTCTGATAGTCTGATAAGCTCGGAATCTTCTCAGCGCAGGGCGGACTGCTTGACAAAGAGGGCAGTGCTTCATAGATCATCCGCTTCAAACATCCTATGTCAGAGGGTGGATAGGAAGAGCCCGAGGCCGGACGGTAAGGAATGCGCAGACAGGTCACCTTGCGAGGATTTTGTTGGAGGGAAGCTGTCAAAGACGAATCTACAAAAGGCACCAACTAAGCTGATCATGCAGAGCGTTCGCATGTGAATGTAAGGACGATGCCTTCTTTTCGTTAGCTTCCAGCTTCTTTGGAGGGTCTGTGTTGTCAGCGTGCAGGCACTGGTCATCCCATACCAAGACGAAGACTTTGAAGCATTCAGGCTTGCTTATGAGTCGATGAATGCTTTTCGTCATCTCTGCTGTATGGAAGCCCTTGGCAGTGGTGTGGAGCATGCAGTAGTGGCATCCATCCGTCAAGGACTGGAGGAGGGATGCCGGCGCTTGACCTTGACCGTGTACGTCACAGCGAAGCCACGACCCGGTGCCTTGATGTCGGCATCCGATTGCATTTCGCAGAAGGCCATGCTTTCATCCCCAAGCTGCCCCACTCCGCAAAGTTTGTGTCGAAGAGCTTGTTCAGGAGTTTGGAAACTCCATGCACTTCAGAAGTCTTGAAGCTGACCAGGACAGGACGCTGGGGCAAACTCCACAGCAGCTCTTGGCAGAAGCGTGGCTTGGGCCAGGCCGTGCTCACAGGGACCGGATTCTGCGCCATGTGGGCTCTCAGCAGGTGAGCACGCACCTCCTCGGAGGAATTCTGCAGAAGCCACAAGAACAGGGAGGTGATGGTGGGCTTGGCCTCCTTGCCTTGGAAGAACTTGTGTGCCCGCAGCTTCTCTACGAACGAGGTCCAAGGATGTCCCACCTTTAGCATGTGGCAAAGGTGCTCGGCCAACGCATCCCCTGCGTCGGGAGACTCGAAGTCCGTTTGGCCCAAGATCTTCTCGATCTCACGCTGGGAGGTGGGTCGCAGCTTGCGGAAGGATTCCGGCGTCACGGACGTGACGGAGCTGCATTGCCAGGGAGCATGCTTGGTCACACTTCGTCTCTTTCTCCTCTGGAGGAAGCGGTCCAGAAAGACTTTCATCAGTACAAGTGTGAACATCATCAGCGCCAGCGCCTCGCCGATCCATGGAACAAGTCACATTCACACAGCCCCCCCCCTCTCTTCCCCGCTGAGCCTGCATCCACATTCCAGACATCTTCTGAGCAAGCGCAGCGGATTCAGCACACAAACACTCGCAGCACTCAAGCAGCGCCTGAAGGCCCGGAGCCCGGCAAAGGCTGCCGAACGTACGGCGTCCCTGCGGAAGAGCCAAGGAGGCCCAAGCCCCTGCTGCCACCTCGGGTCACCGTCTTCTCTGCGCAGGAAGCGGATCATCCAGGCACTGCAGTCGAGGCACCAAGCAGAAGATCAAGAACTTGAAGAAGGACGCTTTTGATGGCTTGCCTTCCTTGAGGATGGTGCGCTTGCGCCTGCCAGTAACTGCTTGTGCATTCTGCGGTGTTGAGCAAGAAATGAGCCTTTCTTTGAATCAAGTAACTTACTCAGGGAGCCCAAAACGCCGAGCAGGGCCACGGGTAGACCGGCGAGGAGGACGTGGCGAGAGGCCTGAGAATCCAGGTGCACATTTGATGAACAGATGCCCGCCACCACAGTCTGCTCCAATACTTCACAAGGCAAACTTCCAGGTGCCTCCGGAGAAGCAACCAAAACTGCCCGACAGTGCCAGACAAGGTATGGAAGGGTGCCGCTCAAGATAGCCATGCCAGCAATTGCCTGTGGAAGACACGTTCTGACCACACGCTTGAAGGAGGTTAAGATCGTGCAAGCCACCAACATGCAGACCAATGGCCAGATTCAGCTGCAGAAAGACCAGTGTTGTTTTAGTGGGGAAATGTTTCCTCAAGCCGTTGAAGAAGCGGGTCCCCAGACACCTGGCAGCACGTTCAAGACGAACTAGTCTGCCTGTGCAGGACTTACAAGATAACATCGACTCGCGAGCACAGAGTCCACCAATGCCTCGCATTCCACAACGCAGCAGCAACAGCCACCACGCCCAACAGCCAGAGTCGCACCGCCTTGAACCCCAGCAGCAGTACACCATTCGGGCCCCGAAATGACGATCACTCACGAATTCTGACTTTTATCTCGCAGAATTTGAGGTCCCCCCCCCCCCCCCCCCGTAGGAGCACGTCCAGGCACCTCCGAAGAAGCCGCCAGCACGGCTCGGCAGTGCCAGATAAGCAATGGAAATGCCAGGCTCAACCCGCACATTCCAACAATTCCCTTAGTACTTTGCAGCGTTGTAAGGATGGTTGTCATGGATCAGGTCAGCAATGTGTTCCCATCTGCTTGAACATTGGCTCAACCCCTGCAGAGGGATAGGAGACATGCAGCTTTCAGCAGGAGAGGGAACAAAGACTCAGAGACAGAAAGAGAGCGAGAGGCAACACAACAGAAACTGGCCTCTCAAGGCGGAGGGAGCACGAGAGGAGATGATGGAGATGATGAGAGACAAGGCATGCCATGAAACACACGCAACAATCGCAGCAATTGCTACAAACCTCTGAGAGCCACTCGCCCCTGCAGACCAGGAGCCACTGACAATATAAGCCCCTGGAGGCCCGCAGGACGTTGTTGGCTTAGTGCTTGGAAGAAGTTGGCGACACCCTGGCGCCTGGGGCATTGGAGTACCATGAAAGCCGAAGTCTTGTGATGACATCGTTGGCACAGTCCAGTATGAACAACAAGGACAATGTTTAATCTGTCACACTAAGATATGACAGCAGAGTATCTGTTTAAAGGGGTGTTTACGAAAAACAATGACCCCTACTATAGCCCCCCCACCCCCAAATAGTAGGATTCCCTTTAATATACCCCAATAAGGTACCCCTAATATCGTAAACCTCCACATTTCTAGATGTCACTGGCCTCAAACACGCTGACAACCCAAAGTATAACAGCAAGATGAATATTTCAAAAGATTGCCTGTGAGGCTAGCAAAAGCGACGATTTTCCATTGTACGGAGTAGAACCCTTGCTTGCCGCCCCCGTCTCCTAGCCTGCATGCCACGCCCCTCCAACTCGCACTTTCCGAACCCCTTGCAAGTTTAAATCAAGCTCCTCCGCCAGGCAAGCCCAGCGCTCGCGACACCGACCGGGGTGAGGCTGAGAAGCACGGCACGGGCCATGTGCTCCTAGGGTCGAGGCAAAGACGCTCGAACAGGTCGCACCGACAGCACCCGATCATGACCATGGTCAAATTGCGTCAAGCCCAACCTGCTCGCCGGACTATCCTGGGGCATGAGCTTACTTCAAGATCGCCGGGCCTGCCCGGCCAGGTGGGGGGCCCAGAGAGGCAGAGCGGTGCGAGCCATGCCGGGGTTGCGAGGCATCCCACGGGCCTGCGGCACCTCCAAACTTGAGCGATTCAGCACTTAAAGCAAAAACATGATATATGGTTGAAGTGTCCAGGCTGAGGTTCATGGCATGAAGGATCATTGCTCAAGGCAAGCTTGTCCTGAGCTTTCATTGAACAGAAGCACTCAAAATATCCTGTGAAACATCGGAGGCCTGGAAGCTGCTGCCATGGAAGACTGGGAGAAAGTTGCCACTTGCCATCATGCAAAGACCTCGGGATGATCAATAGCTGTCTGCCCACGCACACCAAAGCCAAGACGCCCGTCCTGGACCTTGAATGCAAAACAACCAGCCATTGGCTCGTGCTTCCGCGGCAAGATATCTTGTCCAGCCGGGGGCCGGGCTCCACGAAAGCGGGAGCTCGTGCAACAAAGCTAGATGGGGGTACCCAAAGCCGAATGCTGAGGACACAATCTCCACATGACCGCCAACTGATTATCAAGACGACTCACCGAAACACACAGAAACGCGCCAACGCACCGCCGGTTGATGGATTCGGGCCGTCAAGGAGTTGGCACTGGAAACCCAAGTGCCAGCTGGTTTTGTTAAAACGTGAAGCCCAGTACAAACGTCTTCTGTGCGACAGGAGGTAAGGTTTACGGTCTGGGGCTTCAGGGTTTTTGGTCTTTGGGGGTTTAGGGGTTTGGGGTTGTGCGCGTTTTCAGCGTGTAGGGATTTTAGGGTGCTTGAGGGTTTCGGGCCTTTAGGGCTCAGGGTTCTTTGGGGTTGGGTGTTTGAAGGCTTAGGGTGTGTACGGTTTTTCGGGTGTTCAAAAATTGTTTTAGGGTCGCGCAATGTATTTTTGTAGGTCCTGAGAGCTTGTTCCTCTTCATTCTTGCTGCTATATGCCTATATGTGATGTTTCGATAAGCCCTTTGCACCTTGTTGGGGCCCCCCCCCCCCCCCCCAAAAAAAAAATGGAGCTAGGCAGACAAGTAGGCTCAAGCAGCAATTGCCAGTAGTAGATAGAGTTCACGGCCACGAGTAGCTAAACGGACAGTCTCCAGTCGCAGAACTTGTGGTTGCCGTGAAACTGAACGAAACAAACGGAACACATACCAAAACAAACGAAACAACCAAGCACAAAACGGCATTAATTAAGCTATTAAACTGCTCACTATGGGTCGATCTACAGGCTCGCAGTCCGGGTGAGGGTCACATTTGCAAGCACGCTGCATCCCGCGCTTCATTGAAACACGACATCTAATGCGCAGGGGGCCCATTCGCATTTTTGTCTCTGAGGTTTCCGACACTTCGGGGTGAAACGGGATACCTTGTGGGCTCAAGATTTGAGCTAAGGACCGCCCCTAAGCTCTGAGAAAGCAAGCTCGGCTGCGGCATGAAGCAACCTGCTCCGAGAAAATGCCGAGAAACTTGTGAGCGCCCCACCCTCCGCATCCCATCAAGGCACTTCAGCCTTTAAGCAGCTACCTTTGTCCACTCATCGCGTCACAAGCTCAGCAAGACCACGTCTTTCACACCTCGGCATCTCGCCACACAGCCACTGACCATTTCTGAGCTTCATGGGGCTGGAGAAGACTAGGCCATGCATCTCTTTTTGCCAGGGTATCTCGGCCCGAACAACATATACAGCAAGAACTTTCCTAAAACAGGTACCCTTTAGTCAAATTTGGAGGTGCAGATATCCGCGCTTGCTACAACTCCCAGAACCATTCAGAGGCGCCGGCTGGATTGAAGGAACGCAATCCCCAAAGCGGCCACGGTCCACAGCGTTGTGCCTGAAGTCACCCTACCAAGCCCAAGGGCCCGTACTTCAAACCCCTAACATGGCCTTACGTATTGAAGGGTGGGCCATGTAACTACCCTTAGGACGGCCAGAGCTCTGCACATCTCACTCTACGTTTTGGGTTCCATTGCATCGTTCCTAATGTGTCGGCCTCGGGGCGCTACTCCAAGCAACGCCTGGATGTGGGGTTTGCGCCGTGTGGGGTTTCGCCCGAAAAAGCAGCCAGTTTCCCCGGCCCTACTAGACCCAAAGCCCCAAGCCCAAAAGGAGCTCCAAACCCCCAAAAACTCTGTGGAGCTGAGCCCCTCACGCCGTGAGCAAACCTCGGCTCGATTTCGGTTTAAGGCTGACTCTGACAGGCTTGCCACGACTGCATGTACCTACTGTTTGTGAGGTTTCGTCACGAGGATACCTCGATCCTGCACATTGCAGCCCTTGCTTCATCTAACTCCTTTCTTCAATCGCAATCTGGGGGGGGGGAGGGGGGGCGTTCTAAATTTTGGGAGTTCTGTTCGGAACGAATAAGGCCTCCGGCCTCATTCCCAGCAGAGTCTGCGCTCGAACACGGGCACCGCAGCAGCCTGTTGCACATTCACCACAGAGGCTTACTTGAAGCGGAGATTCGCATGGATTCCAAGGCAGACCCAGGCATCTCCGACAGACAGCAGAACAAAAAGCTGCGTTAGACTTTTGGGCCTTCATGGATGGATTGCAGATGCATTGAAGTAATCCGGTGGGGGGGTGTCCCCGCCAACTAAACAGATGCTCGGACTACACAAGACAAGTACAGAATCATATGATTTATCATTCAGATTGCGAGAAGCAGCATTGAACCTCAGCCTGAAGAATCCTTACCGTCCTTACCACAGGATCTGCAAGTTGCAGCTGGCAGTTTGTGCGAGGCCCTTCATGCGCATTCAACGGTTCAATAGATCAAGAGCAGCAGCATACACGTATCAAGCTTTTGAAGCACCCCTCAGTTTGCCAAACCTTCGCAGCGCAGACGCCCAGAAGTCTGAAGAACAGTGCGCGTCAATGCCATCCTGGCTGAACTCTCGGGGGCCGAGGCTCGTGGGAATTTGAGGGAATGCCAGGCCTGTCACGACGAGGTGCAGTTGCAGGGAAGGATTCAGGCAGTGGGTACTGAGGGCACTGTATTCGAACGGATCGAGGTCGGTGTGCTAGATGGGCCGGTATGGATGGCCCTCTGGAACTCACCACGGCAAAAAACCCTTGGATGGTGTTACGGGTCTTAGTACTGCCTGCATAAGTCAAGCAGCCATATCTTGCGTTGCATGTCGGTCTACTCGATTAAACACAGCTTCGACCACTTCCACACACTCCGACATGTTGGCTTCCGTGCCTCTTACTTCAAGGTTCAACCCCAATAGCCTCTGCTACTGCCCCTGCCCCCATTGCCCCCCATCCCCGTGGCGGTCCACAGTAGACTCCGTTGTGATTTGCAGGAAACTGGTCGCCTGGCACCGCGCACCCTCAGGAACCCTAGCGTAAAGGACTGATCACCGCCATGGCGTGGTCTGGCCATGTTGAAAACCGTGCAGGCACCGTCTTGAGGCTTGAGGCAAGAAGCTGCCCGTCACATCCCCTGCAAACAAAAAAAACCCTAACGCCCAAATCCCAAACCCTCCTTCACCTACTAGTGGTGCAATCTTTTGGAAGACCTTCTGGAAAATTCCCTCAGCTTAGGCTTACAAAGCTCTACTCTGCAAGGCTGAGCACGCCCCCAACCTCGATGTCGATTTCTTGTGGAAGAGAATCTTCGAGCCCCTGGCGCTGGAATTTGGGGGCGGGGGGCACAGTCTTGTGGGCTCAGGGTGCACCATGGGTGCAACCTGCTCTGATGGGGTACCCGCTGAGTTTTAAGGCGAACTTTTGCAAGCCGTGGCCCGAAGGAAGGCCTCGGCTGGCTTCAGTGATGAGTCCAGGAGCCAGTCCAAGCTGAGGATGATGAACATCAGAGCCGCCTGTCCATGCTTCATCCCAGCTTTAAAACATTTTTAAAAACCAATTTTTCCGAAGGGTCCTCAAGGCCTGGGCCCTACACGGAATGCGCGCTGAAGCCGAAGTCATTGACCCTACATCCCTGGTAATCCTTCAGGGACACTCCTTGCCTGGACAATTTGCGGAGGTCGAACGCCCATCCTGGCAAGGAGGCTCAGGGAATTGAGGCTTTGGGCGCTGGATGGCCTGTTCTCATGGCTCATTTTGCAAGCCCTTGCTATCATGATGCCCTCCATCATTCCGAAAACCGGTGTAGAAAAACGTGGGGCCATCCCCGTGGGTCCCGTGAGGGTGGCTACCAGGGAAGGAGGTTCGCATCCAGATGAACAACTGGAGGGCAAAAAATGCTCTCGATTCAATCAAGACTTTTGGAGTTGACGCTGAACTCAACAGGCCTTCAATG